CTACTACTACTACTACTACTACTACTACTACTACTACTACTACGAATAAGAATAATAATATGTCTACTACTACTACTACTACTACTAGTACTACTACTACTACTACTACTACTACTACTACTACTACTACTACTACTACTCCTGCTACTGCTATTAGTCCTCCTCCTCCCACTCCTCCTCCTCCTCCTCCTTTTCCTCGTCGGGCCAGCGGCGACAATCGTGTTATTGGAAGGTTCTCCGGGTACATGATGGCGCGGGCCGCGTTGGAACTCTCGGTTCCAGGGTGACCCAAATGGGGCTGCAAAGCCCGAAGGACGGCCTGGTGGGAACATTTGCACATGTTGGCATGGCGGTTACCATTGGCAGACAGATGGGGGAGGCGCCGAGGCAAGCGATGTGAGACGCAGCGGAGGGGGAGCGCCCCATCTACACCGAATCCACTCGAAGCGGGGCCGCGGGCCCGACATCGGTTCCGCTGCGAACGGGTCCCCAGGCAGCGCTACTCATAATTGAGATGTTCGGTGGGATGGCGCGGACTCTCCTCCTCGTCGATCTCCTCGCCGGACTGGCGGCGACAATTTGTTTCCCAGAAAGCACTCCAGGAACATGATGATGTGGGCCTTGTTGGGGCCCTCGTGGAAGGTTTTAATATACTCCAAGTGAAAGTGGACAACCGGAAGGACGGCCCAGAAGAATCGATCGAAAACCGGAAGAAAGGGAGTGAGGGGGTGAAGCTTAGAACTGACATGTAAGATGTATGAAGTGACAGAGCGAGCACGGCTGGAGCTGGGAAGGCCACGCGGAGGAGGGTGAGAAAGACCGTGGGGGCTCACGACAGCGACCAGAATTTCTAAGGGCCCATCCCGCCACCGTCCTGGACTGTGGGCCCTGGTGCCGCCTTGGGGCCCGCGTGGGTCTCTGTTTGCCGTTTCCCTTTCCGCCTCCTCCTCCGCCTCCTCCTCCGCCTCCTCGTAGGTCTCCTAGTCGGGCAGGTGGCGACAATCATGTTCCCAGAAGGCTCGCTGAGAACATGATGAGGTGGGCCGTGCGGGGGCCCTCGGTTTCAGGGTCAGCCGATTTAGGCTGCCCGGCCCGCAGGACGGGCCAGTGGAAGCACTTGCAAAGGTTGAGATGGTGGTGAAGCTTGGTGGGGAGACTCCTCCTCCTCCTCCTCCTCCCCCTCCTCCTCCTCCTCCTCCTCCTCCTCCTCCTCCTCCTCCCCTCCTCCCCCCTCCTCCCCCTCCTCCTCCTCCTCCTCCTCCTCCTCCTCCTCCTCCTCCTCCTCCTCCTCCTCCTCCTCCTCCTCCTCCTCCTCCCATGTCTGCCCGCCCACGAGGGCGGGAGGGCCACCCGTGCCCACCGCTCGCCCCGAGGGCCAGGGCAGCGGGCCGCGGTGGCGACGCAGCTGCCCCCCCCTCCAGCGGTGCAGTGCAGTGCAGTGCGGCGGGCGGGGGCCTCGGCAGAGCCCTCCGCCGCGCCCCGGCGAGGCCCGACGAGGACAGCGTCGTGCCCCCCGAGCCCCCACCGGCGCCGGTCGCGGACCACACCCTGGCGCAACCTCACCCTTCGTGCAGCTGACGCGCTACCAGAAGGAACGCCACAGAAGGAAGGAAAGGGCTTTTCTGGCCACCAGCCGCAAGAGACCCAATCCTGAAAACCCACGCACGAGGTGCACCTGAGGGGGAACCCGGAGCACCCTGAACGCAGCAGCTTCTTCAACGGCTGCGGGAAGTCACCGCGCAGCGCGCGGAGCGAAGAAACCCAGGATACCCAGACGAAAAGCGTACGGCTTCTTGATGCGCGCCCCCACTGTAATGCGCAGAGCAGCAGAACATCTGCAGAGTGAGATTTGATGTTCGATCATACAGTCAACACGCAGGGTCAGGATGAGCAACCTTCCCCAAGGACACCCTTGCATTGCTGCCCATCCTTAGCGACATTCGCTGGCCAACCTCTGTCGAAAAACGTCAAGATGGCCTTCTCGAAAGAAAAGATTGATCCTCGTCCTGGCCTCCTCCTCCTCCTCCTCCTCATCCTCCTCCCTCCAACCTCCTCCTCCTCCTCCTCCTCCTGCTCCTGCTCCTGCTCCTCCTCCTCCTCCTCCTTCTCCTCCTTCTCCTCCTTCCTCCAACCGCCTCCTCCTCTTCTCCAACCTCCTCCCCCTCTCGTCGAGAGGTCCTCGAGATCCCAGGTCGGCGGCGAGCGAGAGGGAAGTGATGAAGAGAAGGCCTTCTCAGAAGGCGGCGGGGCTTTTCAGAACATGCAAGGGTACCCTCCCCTAGATGCACAAGAACGTCCAACAAGCACGAAGAACATGAGGGCACCTCGATCTTATACCTTGGTCCGACTGTATTCATGCCCCCTTCACGGTCGAGAGGTCCTCGAGATACCAGGTCGGCGGCGAGCGAGGGGAGGAAGTGAGAATGAGAAGGCCTTCGGGCACATTTCCATGCCCACCTGTCGGTCGAAAGGACCTGGAGATCCCAGGTCGGCGACGAGCGATGGGGGGAAATAAGAAGGAGAAGGCCCTCTCAGAAGGCGGTGGGGCTTCTCAGAAGCCCTTGCGCCTTCTGAAAGGTTTTCTGTGTCGTCGGGGCAAGCCTTGAGAACTTCTCAGAGGGCCCGGAGACTTCCGAGCCTTCTGAGAAGGTCCGCCCCTTCTCACTGCACCCCCGGACTCGCCGCCGAGAGGTACATGCCCGCCTCTCGTCGAGAGGTCCTTGAGATCCCAAGGGCACGGCTCCAAGGCAGTGGGTGAAAAAAAAGTTCGGTGGCGGGCTTGAAAAACCGTGGATGACTCCACGAGCTCCGCAGAGCGCGCGGTGTCAAGACAGCGACGGGCGGGCGGCGCCTGCACCCTCGGGCAGGACGTCCGCACGGCCCCCGTCAGAAGTGCCTGGTGAAGTTCTTCTGCTGCGCCTCCATGTCGCGCGCCCTCCCCTTGAGCACCTCTCGGATGACAAAGAGACCGTGCACGTGTGAAGGCAGCCACTGGGGCCTTCGGTAGAGCCCTCTATGGGTGCCGACACGGACGTGTGGAGGGCATAGGCAGGGATGCAAGGAGGGTGGCGGCGAGACCAGGCGTGCGTCAGTGGAAGCCATCGGTACTGGCCTGCGGGCGCCACGCGCACACAAGTCGCGGCCCCCAACTTGCGAGGAGGGCCGCAATCTCGCCCCCACCCCACCCACGAGCACCAAGGCCCGCCGTGGCGTTCCGTCTCCGCCCGACCCCCACTGGGAGGAAGGGGGAGGAAGACTGCAAGGCTGGAAGGCTGGAAGTGAGACAGCGCCTGCGCACTGACACAGCTCTACTATGCATCAACAGAGGAACAAAGTAAGAAACAAAATAAAAGAAGGAAAAAAAACTGTTCTGGGTGGGCAAAGCGGACCTCGTCGCCTGGCAACTCGCGGCACAGCAAAGACGGCATGGTGCATGGGGCGGCCACCCCGCCAAATCGATTGGCATTGCGCCCAATGAGGGAAGGAAGGAGGGAGGAGAGAGGGAGGAGGCAGGGAGGGAGGGAGAAAGGAGGGTGTAATGGTCCCGCTGAGAACCACTGCCCTGGTATGAGTCATGATGTGTACTCTTTCCCGTGTTCTCTGATGACGTGCTGAGTATCTCGGTACTGCTGTTTACGGGATCAGGCAGCGGGGAGTGCGATGCGGATCGCACACTGGCCCTGGAAGAGATTTTTTTTCAGTTGCGGGCCAGTTCGCGATACTGCGCCTTTCGGGCGCACATCAGAAGCCCAGCGACACTCTTTCGCTGCAAAGGTTTGAGCCAAGACGGTCTCGGTAGAAACATACAGGGGAATATGTGAAACATATATAATGAGCCTCCCGGGCTTGGGGCTCTACGAGGGCTCTCGGGGAGACCACTAATCATGGTTAGGTTGCAAATAGAATGTTGGAAACACGATGCGCCGCGAAACGCAAGCTTACATAAAAGGGGGCTCCTGTGGAGCCCGAGTGTACAGATTAGCTCACGCTCGGCCTCTCTAGTCAGGCAGGCTCTGGGCTGTGAGCTGCATGCCAAATAATTAAAAATCGACGTTGCCACATCGAAGTCTGCGGCTGACTCCTGAATTCGCAGGAAGCACAGAGAGCGGAAGCGGTCTCACCGTGCCTCACAGGGCCATGTCTCCGGCAGGGGACTGCTGCTCGTGGGGATCGACCCGGGCAAAGTAGACTAGGGCCTCCAGGACTGCATATCCGCCCTCGTCGGATATGACTACCTACCAGACCACCCCAACCCAACCCGAAATCCCATATTTGACCCGAATTTCGGGTTGGGGGGGGTACGGATACCACGTGTTTTTTCAACGTTCCCCGACCCCCCCCCCACTGGAAATCGAGGATAAATTTGGGCCTTCGGGTTGGGTTGGGGTGGTTTGGTGGGTGGTGAGGATAGGGGTTTGCCATGAACGGGTTTCTCAATGCCTTCGGGCTTGCGCTTCCTGGCGCCGCGGTGGAGAACATCATCTACCAAGCTCCAGCGTTGTCCTGATCTGAAGAACTCCAGTAAGACCCTGGCAGCTCGATCTTTCGTCAGGCCGACGGCTAACATAGCATCGCTGCGTACCCCACGCATCTGGAGGGCCGTCTGCTCCGTCTGCTGTCGGACGCCGAGACACTCGATACTCGTCCGTTTGTCGCGCAGTCCAAGACCAGCCGATTCGCTCATCGCGCTCGCGTCGCATCCCGACTTCCCGTCTGTGACCAGGACGCCAGGGCAGGCTGAGATGGCGCCGTACACGTGCTGCCTCGAGGCGTAGCCCACTGGACCGCACCCCAGCTCGTAAGTGAATAGTCGCACGTAGCTGATCTCGTCTGAAGCCTCGGTCATCCTCGGAAGCTCCGCACTTGCATTGCTTCTGGCAGCGCGAGGCAACTTGCAAGATCTCCATGATGTAGGTGCCACTGTCTCCGTCGAACCGCTGAGTAATTACAGCGGGGCCAACGCTACAATCTCCCCGCCTTGGGACTCGCCGGTGGCCCTGGCTGCCTGGGCCGCGTCGCCCCAGCCAACCACGGCGATCTGGTCGATCGCTGGGATGAGCATGACCACATCGGCAACGTCGTTCATGGCGCGGGTGAGCTCGTTAATCTTCTGCATGGTCGGGATCGTGGCCGTCGGAATCCCGGCTTGGAGCAAAGATGCTTCCGCGCTGAGCCACGGGGCCGATTGCTGAGCGCGCCATCCTACGGCCCCAAGTCGGAACCGTAGATCCGATCGCTCTTTGTCCCAAATCCCCCTATAGGCTTTCGGCCACGTCGTACCTTGATGGGCTCCACGTTCAGACTGTAGTTGTCCTGAACGAGGCTGCAAGTGACATCGTCATTATGTATGATACTGGTGCCACACAGGACGAAAGCTCGGTTCTCCAAGGGCGTCCATTCGCGAGACTTCTGGCTGTCGGTACGCTTCTTGAGGAAGGCCGGGCTCGCGTGGTCGCCAGCGTTCAGCATGTCGTCGGCGCGCGGGGTCACCACGCCAACCAGCTTGACGCCGTCGCGGATGGCCCAGACACAGGGCTCGCACTGAACAGCTTCCAGCTCGAGCTTCCTGCGCGCGCCCTCGAAGTGAAACCACCATTTACGAGGGGCATCTAAAGAGCCGCACATCGGCCTGAGGAACTGCATGACCTGGTCGTCGCTCATGCCGAAGGCCTGGCGGGCATCTTTCGGAGGTCCGCACAGATCTTCCTCTTCTCCTCGTCGGCCTCCCCCTGGAGGAAGGCCACCACTGCGTCTGCCTTCCCAAGCGCCCACTTCTGTCTAGCTGCCATGGTCAGCAGAAACTGACGCGCCCGTCGCGAGGCGACAGGAGACTCCGTCCGCAGGTGGGGCAAGTCGGGGCTACCGAGGCCGAGCACGACCAGGCGGACCATGCCCAAGGGAGCGTTGCCACGCTCATCCCACTCCCAGGTCAGCGCGAAGCGGCAACGTAGCAAGCGCGCCAGGTCGACCCCTTGTCTACTCAAGACCCTGGCCGCCTTGGCGCTGAGAACAGATGGGCGCTCCTTCAGCTGGGCCTCGAGTAGGAGCCTCTCCGCGTCCGCGGTGGCCTTCTTGAAAGCTATACATACTCGGCCCTCGCGGGCCCAGGGTGCCGCGCAGTTGCTGGGGTCGCCCATGTAGGCCATGAGAGCGTGCTCGTTGATAATGGAGATGCCCAGCACGGTGGGCTCGTCGCCCTCCTTGGCCTCGTCGCACTGCCGGACGCGGCATGCGTAGTCCACGCGTGAGTTTCCCTCCTGCAGGTAGTAAGAGAAGGCCTCTTGGGTGGCAATGGCGACGCGCTGCTTCTTGATAGGTGGCTCTGACGACCCTGGGGCTCGCCGACGGCGCTCGTTGTTGTCATCGGGTGCCGTTGGGAAGCTTGTCCCTCCTGGACGTCACTCGGAGGCGCCCCCATAATGTATTTTCCGCTGGTGTTGCGGCGTCTCCGTCGGGTAGTTCGGCTGGATCGTCGCCAGGCTGGGAATAGCCTGGCGGAACCTCTGGCGTTGCTGGCTGGACGACAAGGCCTGGGTCAGCACTCGCGTCGAGCTGAGGATTTCCTCTGCGTCGCATCCTCCTCGGAGGTCTCGGTCCAGGTAGAGGAGGCCCTCCAAGTCCAGGTGGGGCCGAGGGCAGCACGCTGCCTCCGCCACCTCCTGGTCCGAGTCTCTGGGGTTCCCCCTGGGGAACGGGTGGATCGTCGCCCACGTCGATGGACCGGGGCCCGCTCGGATTGCCCGCGAAGGCGCGGGCGCTGACCGACTCGCCGTCGAACGCTGCAAGGTCATCGCCTGTCGGCGGGGACTCGCTGGAAAGGTCGATCACCTCGTCGGTGCCGAGCTGCTTCTGGACCTCGCCGAAGGCCCGCGTCCCGGGTTACCCGCGACGCGAGCGCAGCGACTCCATCGCCTCCTCGGACGGGGTGGCAGGTCGAAATTGTTCTGGAGCAACTCGATAGAGACGACCAGCCAACACGATGTTAACAAGTGTCCCGGGTAGACCAGGTCGGCACCCAAAGCCCGCAGTCTCGCGACACGGAACTCGTCCGAATCCACACCGACGACCTCCCCCTGGCACGGAGCGAAGCATCCCTTTCTTCCGACGGGCTCCAGGTGGAAGCCGCCTGCATACCAAGAACAGGTCAATACCTCGCACATCTTGAAAGACCTGAACCTCGCTGCCTCGGCTCGCTTGAAGCGGTCGGAGCTATCCGTCTGGATGCGTGCCAACCTCAATAGTCGTCGTACCTGAGCGTATCGGCTGAAGGTACCGTCCTGTCTTTCAGCGTTGATGAGAGGTAGGTTGTGTGGCCCATCGGACAGGTTGACGGTGGTGCCAGTCGGCGTCCTTCACGCATACCGTTGAAATGGGCTGAAACCGTCGATCCTGATCAGGTCGCTCCTCGGCACCTCGGCGGAAACCATCTCGTCGAAGCCGTCAAGGGCCTCCTTGAAAGCCTCAGTAGCACGTTCAATCGTGCCGATCTGCCAGCGTGCGTCAGCGGCACAGGGCAGACTGTAGATGCACAGACTCTCGACCCACTCTCTGAACTCGTCGGATGCGTCGCTTCCTGCAGGGTCGCAGCGCATGACCTTTGGGCGTCCCACCCGTGGAAACCATGTCGCAGATCGGGCGGGTAGACCCTAACTGGCGGGTTGGGAAGGCGGGCATGGGCGGCCAGCCAGGTCGACCAGGCGGGTTGCTGAAGCGTGCGTCCCGCAGAAATCGCGAAGAAGTCTCGAATGGTAGCGCGATTCCCAAATGAATCGTCGGAAAATCCACAGCGAGAGCATGATTCCTGAGTGTCGAGAGCGCAGCGTCTGAACATATGGTGAGGAAGTCCCACGCGAGAGGGCGATTCATATATACATTGTGAGGAAGTCCCGCGCGAGAGCGCGATTTGGGAATGCATTGTGAGGACGTATCTGGCGGGAGCGGGTGAAATTCGACTACCACCTCAGGGGCACATCCTGTTTTTGTCAATTGAAGTGCCCTTCCCTGGGCTCGCACTGGGCTTTCTACTAAGCAAAATCTTGGGCCTCAGAATTGTACATTTGGCCTTCGGCATACAACAACAAAACAGCTCCCGCGGGACACTCGCTCTCGCGCGGGACTTTCTCAACATTTACAGAGGCAGCGCGCTCTCGCGGTGGAATTCCTTGCAATTGATTCAGACGCCGCGCCCTCGACACTCAGGAACCACGCTCTCGCTGTGGATTTCCGAACGATATTTTAGGAATCGCGCTATCGCTCGAGATTTCTTCGCGATTCATGCAGGACGCACGCTTCAGCAACCCGCCTGACCCTTGTCCCTTCCTTGCACCCATCCTCTCTTACCCTGCCTTAGAGGATGCACGAAACACTCGCTGCAGGTAAGAAAGATAGACCCTCAGAGGGTACGATCGAAGACGAAGAGGGCGGGTATCGAAGTTTTGGGATACACGTGTTGAAAGGCACGCGAGCAGGTAAGAGCGAACAGTCTTGAAATGATTGTTGCTGTTGTGGGTGTTGTGTGTTCGGTTGTTTGCTTGTTTGTTTGTGTGCTTGTTCCCCACCCGACAGGTTGGGGTTGCTAGATTTCAAGAACAGGCCCCCCGGCAAACCCCACCCTGCATACCGCGGCCGCCAGACCTCAAGTTGTCCCGAGTCCCCAATGTCCCGCCTCGCGCCCAGCCAACCCCACCCTGCATACCGCGGCTGCCAGACCCCAAGTTGTCCCGATGATCCCCGAGAGTCCCGGGTGTCCCGCCTCGCGCCCTCGACGAACATGACATGACAGAACAGAACATGACAGAACGGAACAGAGCATGGCAAGACATGGCAGAACATATCATAACAATAGCATTACAACATAGAGCATAACACAACATCGCATAACATACTACATAACATAACATGAGTCTGCAGAACACATCATAACAGAACAGAGCCGAACATAACATAAGACACATTACCAGAACATACCAGATAATGGCACAACAACAAATAACGTATCATAACACGAAAACAGAGCATAGAAACGACGAACACGACAGAACACGACATGTCACAACATAACCTGACATAATAAAACACGAGCACGACAGACATGACATAACAGAGCATTGCAATGTCATGAGAAAGAAGAGCATAACATAACATCACGTAACACACCAGAGCAGAACATGGCAGAACAGAAGACGAAATGACACAACATAACATAAAATAATCGAGCATAACACAACACACCTTGACATAAAAGATCCTAGCATGACACAGTATCACATAATATAGCATAGCACGACAACAGAGCATAGCGACACATACTATCGGAACAAATCATACTATACTATAAAGAGCCGAGCCGTCAACAAACATAACATCTCAGAACATAACAGAGCAAAGCATGACAGAACATAAGACGACATAACACAACATAACATAACATAACCGAGCATAGCATAACACACCTGGACAGAACATACCATATTACATCATGACAGCATCACAGAACATATCAGAACGCGACAGCCAAGCATAGCGCAACATACTAGCAAAGCAAATCATAATTAATATACTGAACCCAGCTGTCAACAACATCACGGAACAGAGCATACTAGGACATAACCTGACGAACCATATGATGCCATTACATAGTGCCAGAGAGCAGATCCTACCATAACATCTCGAGCATATGGTGGCAGGGCTGAGCATAACACAATATACCCAATCAGAAGAGAGAGACATAGAAGTTCAAAGGAACATCATAAAAGACGACGCATCTAACGTCACAAGCGTCACCATGTCACGCGGGCACGTCGAAAACATAACAGGACATAATAGAGCATAGCATGAAGGAGCGTGATTATATGGAACACGGTTGAACCGTTTTTGAATCCACAAACGGCAGTTGCGCAGTGGTTGGAGGAGGAGGAGGAGGAAAAGTAGGGACGAGAGGTCCGCCTCGCATCCCTCCTCTTCCTCATCCTTCGCCGTCAGCCTCCTCCTCCTGCTCCTGCTGCTAATGCTCTGCCTCTTCCTCTTTCAACAAGCTGCGGCTCTCTATCCGTTTCGCACCACACGTTTTCGAAGCTTTTTCGCCCCAGGGTTTCTTTCAATTCCTTTCGCCAGGAGCTCTGAAGTTGTTGGATTTGGAGACAATGGAAGTCGCCACTTCGCCCGACCAATGCACTGGCCGAGACCACAGGGCCCCGCGCGCAGCGTTCCACCAATTAGGCGCGCCGTCGGGAACAAACGCTTAAGGTGTCGGTGGGGATCGCTCGAAGCAAAGTCAGCCGGCCGCCTTGTGGGACCACCAGGCTGTAGGCCTAAGGTTCGCAGTTTCCTGTACCAGTTGCAGCTTCCAGTTTCCACTGTTAGAGTTCTGCTTCTTGCTGCTTACTGTTCCTTGTTACAGTTCTGCTTCTTGCTGATTACTGTTCCTTGTTGATGGACCGCGCGAGGGGGGGAGGCCCAAAACAAGCATTTCCACCACTCGCAAATCGTATTATCTGAATTGCTGGGGTGGGTAAAAATTCACACCCCTCACGCAGATCGGCGGGGTCAGGGTCCAAAAACTCATGGGATTTGCAACATTTCTGACATTCGGCGGCACCCCTCACACAGATCGGCGGGGTCAGGGTCCAAAAACACACTGGATTTGCTACATTTCTAAATTTCGGTGGCACCCCTCACGCAGATCGGCGGGGTCAGGGTCCAAAAACACATGGGATTTGCCACATTTCTGACGTCCGGTGGCACCCCTCACGCAGATCGGCGGGGTCAGGGTCCAAAAACATATGGGATTTGCCTCATGTCTGGCATTCAGTGGCACCCCTCACGCAGATCGGCGGGGTCAGGGTCCATAAACACATGGGATTTGCCACATTTATAGAGTTCGGTGGCACCCCTCACGCAGATCGGCGGGGTCAGGGTTCAAAAACATATTGGATTTGCTACATTTCTAGAGTTCGGTGGCACCCCTCACGCGGGTCCAAAAACACATGGGATTTGCCACATTTCTGACATTCGGTGGCACCCCTGACGCAGATCGGCGGGGTCAGGGTCCAAAAACACACTGGATTTGCCTCATTTCTGGCATTCAGTGGCACCCCTCACGCAGATCGGCGGGGTCAGGGCCCACAAACACAACGGATTTGCTACATTTCTGACATTCGGTGGCACCCCTCACGCAGATCGGCGGGGTCAGGGTCCAAAACACATAAAGGATTTGCAACATTTCTGATATTCAGTGGACCCCTCACGCAGATCGGCGGGGTCAAGATCCAAAAACATAAGGAATTTGCTACATTTCTGCCATTCGGCGGCACCTCTCACGCAGATCGGCAGGGTCAGGGTCCAAAATCATATGGGATTTGCAACATTTCTGAAATTCGGCGGCGCCCCTCACGCAGATCCGCAGGGTCAGGGTCCAAAAACACACGGGATTTGCCACATTTCTGATATTCGGCGGCGCCCCTCACGCAGATCCGCAGGGTCAGGGTCCGAAAACACACGGGATTTGCTACATTTCTGAAATTCGGCGGCACCCCTCACGCAGATCGGCGGGGTCAGGGTCCAAAATCACAAGGGATTTGCCACATTTCTGACGTTCGGTGGCACCCCTGACGCAGATCGGCGGGGTCAGAGTCCAAAAACACACTGGATTTGCTTCATTTCTGGCATTCAGTGGCACCCCTCACGCAGATCGGCGGGGTCAGGGTCCAAAAGCACAAGGAATTTGCTACATTTCTGCCATTCGGCGGCACCCCTCACGCAGATGGGCAGGGTCGGGGTCCAAAATCAGATGGGATATGCCACATTTCTGACATTCGGCGGTACCCCTCATGCAGATCGGCAGGGTCAGGGTCCAAAAACAACATTTCTGAAGTTCGGCGGCACCCCTCACGCAGATCCGTAGGGCCAGGGTCGAGAAACAAACAGGTCCCGACACTGCTTCACGGCGGCGCCCAGACCTCATGATTTAGCTCTTCCATGGCACATTCTCCGAGAGAGGGGGCCGGCGGCAGGGGGCGAAGCCCTTACGGATAATTGTTGATGATGTTTTTGTTGCTGTGTTTGATGTTGCTGTTGCTATTGCTGTTGTTGTTGTTGAACTCTCATCAATGAAAAATGATCCCTGTTGATCCCCCCTCCGGGGCACTTTTTGTTTTTCAATTGAAGCGCTCTTCCTGGGGCTCGCACCCTGTTTTTATTCAGGGAAAGTCTTGGGTCTCAGAATTGTGTTGTTGGCCCACGGCTTACAGCAACAGCAACTCCCGCCTGATACTTCCTCCCTATATATTCCCAAGACGCGCTCTCGCGCGGGACTTCCTCACAGTATATATATATATATATATACACACAGAAATCGCGATCTCGAGCGGGAATTCCTCGCAATTGATTCAGACGCCGCGCCCTCGACACTCAGGAACCACGCTCTCGCTGTGGATTTCCTCACGAGGTATTTGAGGATCGCGCTATCGTTCCAGACTTCCTCGCGATTCATGCAGCAACCACGCTTCAGCAACCCGCCTGCTCGACCTGGCCGCTCGGGCCAGCCTTCCCCAACCGCCGGTGAGGGTCTACCCGCCCGATCTGTCCGTCTGGTGCTGCCACATGGTTTCTACTCCTAGCTCCCCTCCTGATGTCGCCGTCGGTTGCTGCGTCTGGCTCCGTGGCCCCTCCAGTGCCGAGGCCAGCCCCAAGCTTCAACATGCCAGCCCAAGTGGGGGCGTTTCCATCCATCCATCCATCCCTCCTGCTACTCTCTTTCTCTCTCTCTCTCTCTCTCTCGTGCTGCATCCTCCTCCTCCCTCTCCCTTGTCCTTTCCTTCCATCCGTCCTCTCTTCTCCTGCCTTAGGGGCTGCACGAAATACACGTTGCAGGTAAGAAAGGTATAGACCCCCAAGGGGATACGATCGAAAACGAAGAGAGGGCGGGTATCAAAGGTTTGGGATATACGTGTTGAATGGCCCGCGAGCAAACAAGAGCGAACAGTCTGAAAATGATTGTTGTTGTCGTCGTCGTCGTCCTCGACGTCGTCGTCCTCGTCGTTGTCGTCGTCCTCGCCCGCGACCCGCCCGCGACCCGCCCGCGACCCACCCACGACCCACCCACGACCCACCCCGCGATCCACCTCACGACCCACCCGCGACCCACCCCGCGATCCACCCCGCGACCCACCCGCGACCCACCCGCGACCCGCAGGCAACCCGCCCGCGACCCGCGCGCAACCCACCCGCGATCTTCCCCGTGCCCGCCCCATCACTCATCCGCAACTAAGGGGTGATACATGTAAGTCGGGCCTGTCCCCCTACCGGGGAATTTAGAAGAAAAGAAATACTTACAAAAAATACCCCACAACATCCAAAAATGGTCAAAAAATCGTCCCCTGACCATTTTTTGACTATGTTTGAATATTCCTCCTGTGTAGAAGGACAGGCCCGAGTTAATACTACATATTTTTGTCGCGGATCGCCCGACCTCGGTCACGGCGGCGACGTTCCGCAAGATGTCCCTCGCCTCGGTCATTTCCGCGAAGAGCAGGGACCGCGCCGCCTCCGACTGCCCCACGACGCCGCTGGCGACATGCCTCGCCGCGTCCAGCACCAGGCTGACCACCTCCTCTTCCGTGGCCGTCGGTCCCTTGGCTCCGCTGTCCAGGCTGTCCAGGGACCCTCTTAAGACGGAGCCAGAACGAGGATAACATCGGGTGAGAATGAATCGAGAATCTGTGAGATCCGGCGGCTCTGCAGACTGTCTCGGGCACCGCGGCCTTCTCAGAAGCGTTCCGGAACGCTCCGAGAACGTTCCGAAACGCTCTGGAACAGATTTATCCTCGTCCTGGCCCCGTCCGACCTTGGCTGCCCCGGCGGCCGCTCCCGTCGCCCACCACGAGCTGGCTCGCGTGGATCAGGGGCCCGAGGTCTGGTTCGGAGCCCGAGTCCTCGCCGCCGTTCTGCACCATTACCCCCTTGGCCACCCTGCAGCGCCCCCAGCTGGGGCTGTCGGCTCCGAGTCCCTGAGCGTCGTCGAACGGCACGGCCTTGGCCTGGCGCTGCTCGTAGGCCTCGTCGCGCTGGATCTCCAGCTCGAGCTTCTTCCTCTTCCAGTTCCTGAAGCGGTAGTACAGCCCGGGCATCTGTTCCCTCAGGCGCTCCTCCAGCCTGAATGTGGCAGACACTGTCTCGGCGAAGTTGTGCGTGCTCTCAACGAGCTCCCGCCACTGCCTCTCCTGCTTCAGCTCCTCCGTGAGCTTGGAGTCCTGCAGGGCGCCCAGCATGATGGAGACGAACAGCGGCACCACGGTGAAGAAAATTATCACAACGAATGCGATAATGAGCAGGGACCCCGTGAACGGGGCGGCGTCATGCACGCTGGTCATGTCCGAGTCTCCCAGGAGGCCTCGCACCAAGAAGACGAAGGTCTTCCAAGGCGAGCTGAACTCGAGCTCTTCAGCTCCAAAGGCAAAAGTGAACGCGAGGACGAAGCCAATGAGCGAGGTGAAGAAGATGATGAACCATGTGAACCACTGCTTCTGCGAGCCCAGCACCGTTTGCATCAACATAGAGATGTAAGGGAAAACATCGATGTACTTCACTGCCTTGAACCAGGTGAGCACGGCGTTGAAGGCGATCATCTCCCTGATGGTCCGCACGTTCCTCGCAACGGGGGTGAAGTCAACAAAAGTGTCCACACCCTGGCCTGCTGCATCGTTGAAAAGGATGCCAACCTCCGGCGTCTTGCCCCAAGTGATCACCCTGATCAAGAATACCACGATGATGAGCACGAGGTTCAGCCAGTCCAGGATGTTCCAGGCGTCCCTGAAATACTCCATCTTGAGACGCGGCACCTTGATCTTGCCACCCCCCCGGTTGCGAAACCCGATGAACTCCGACGCCTCCTCCATGATCTGACGAAAGACGAAGGTCAGGAGTACAACCTCGCCGACAAGAGTCATCCAGTCGCTCATGACCCCAGAACCCAGCGGCGCGAGGTGTCGCTCCATCAGGACATGAACGCGAAAGGTGTTCACCCAGTGCCCGCTCGGTGCGACCTCGAACAGTATGTTGCACACCGCGTAGTACCCGGCGTTGAGGTTGAAGACTGTGAAGTCAACGAACACCGCTCGAGTGCCCGTGGTGATCCAGCCCGCATTTTCCACGTACGCAAGCCTCGTCTTGGACACATTGTAGTTCGACGTCAGCGCCTCCATGAAGCCCCCAGGCCCATAGCATGCGAGGCTGCCACAGATTCTTGAACCCTCTACTGATCGATAACCAAATTCAGCTTCCCCGACGAAGTTTAACGGTCCATAGCTCACTTGGTCTTCGAGTTCTTCGGTGTAGCGGCCGTAACAGTGCGAGAACGTTGCAGCGAAGCTGTCGGAGACCTTGCAACCCTGGTTGCTCTGCGTCTTCAACATGCGCATGCGAACCGTTCCATACAAGCGGTTGGCCCCCTCGATGAGCATAAGCTTCTCCACGACATAGTCGTCCGTGAAATACATGGACGTGTCGTTGCCGTAGATGCCAGGTACTATAGTACGGGTCATGTACTTCCAAAACGTACTTGTTGAATCCACATTCGCAATAGGCATGGCAGCCTCTCTGTCGAAACGCCTGCGGATGTACCCCTCGAAGGCCCGGAACTCGCCGAGCGGCTCGCCGAGAGCCAGCGCCGTGTAGAGCGTGAGAAAGCAGATGAAGAGGCCGACGTTGACCCCCTGCTTCAGGGTCGCAAGCGCGCCGCGCTGTTGCGCGAGCAGATCGTTGAACTGCTTCTCGTCGACCTAGCGGATCAACCAAAGCGGCACAAACATAATTACTCGGAGTTCCGCGCGGATTTCCTGGGATCGGCGCTGGGCCCCCCCTCCGTGGAGCACGGAGCGCGGCAGGGGCGGCGCCGGATGCGCCCCCAGGGGGGGCCCAGCGCCGATCCAAGAAATCCGCCTGGAGCTCCGAAAGTTCATGCTCATGCCGTTTATGATGGGCCCGTTTTCCACCACGACCACCACCATAAGTTGGAGGGGGAAGGAGGTGGACAAGGAGGAGGAGGAGGAGGAGGAGGAGGAGGAGGAGGAGGAGGAGGAGGAGGAGGAGGAGGACCCCCTCCCCCGCCTACTTGTGGTGGTGGCGGTGGAAAACAAGCCCACGAGTTTGTTTCTCGTCGACTACCAGGAGCTCGAGACCCGAGGGGCCCGTGCCTGACATGGCCCGCCACACCCCCGCCTGCGCAGCCCGCGGGGCGAGCG